TGTAAAGAAAACAAAAAAATCTGATACTTTGTTTCTCTGTTTGGTTCTATTAAATATAAAATACTAGATATAAAAACACCAACCCACAGTGATAATATTATAACGTTGGGAGACTCTTTGTTTCCTAGTAACTTAGCAATCTATTTCACATAATATTCTCTTTCTCTTTGAAGATTAGAGATTGGTGTATTTAAATCAAATCTTAATTAAGATCGACGTTTCCTCATTTACTTAAACCCAATGCCATTTAATTAATCCCTGCACCCAATTCTTTCCTCCCTCTGAATGTTAAAGTCAATGAATTTTTTAAAACAGAGAGGATTTACACATACTTGAAGGATGTTAAATGCAACCAACGTTTGTTTAGGACAATTTCTGATCCTGTCTCTCCTGCTCCTTCCTCTTGGCATCCATTCTACCGCCTCTGCCATTCATGAATTCATCCAGTATTTACTGAGCTGACTTGTCAGGCATCATGATAAGTGGTGGGAAACAATGGTTGTGACACTTGAATGGTGTTTTACGGCTTGCAGATCATCTTCGCATATATTAAATTCATTCAGTCCTCGGAGGCACTCACTTCATCTCGCTCCAGTTATTCCTTCCCTTTTAGCTCTGCATTTCCCTTAATGTTCCTGCCCTTAAATCATGGCCGAGTGTTTTCTAAGTGCTTTGGTGGGGTGAGGTGGGGGTGGAGAACACAGGTTGGAAAAGCCTAAGATGAGATTGTAGGTTAGAAATGCTATTAGTATCTTATACTTTAGTTTCAAGGTCCAAGTTCTTCCAAGGTGTGCTCACTTTTACTTAGGAAAGAGCCAAGATCACATGAAAAAGAACAGTGACCATCGGGGCATCCTTCGCTGGGGAATGCCTTGAACCTAAACATAGGGAGGATACTTTCGCAAATCCTTCTGGGTCTCCATCCAGCCTGGTGTGTTTAACATCCCTGATGCTCTAAAGAGCTATGGCCCACTTTCCCCCCAGACATACCCAGGCCAATAGATCCAAGCATCCAAGCTATTACATTTTGTGATACTAACCTACCTCTCTTTCTGGGGGACCCCTCCAGCAGCACAGGGCTTTGGTAGGAATCCACAGAGTTGGCAAAGCTAAATTTTTCTATCTGGGGTGTGTGTGGGGGGTGGGGGCTAAGAAAAATGGCAACTCACAGACTCTCTTGATGTTTTGCTTTTTCTTCTTCTTCTTCTTCTTCTTCTTCTTCTTCTTCTTCTTCTTCTTCTCCTCCTCCTCCTCCTCCTCCTCCTCCTCCTCCTTTTCCTTCTTTCTTTTTTTTCTGTATTCTCTCTCTTTTATCTCATGTTGTTTAACAGCTTAGATACCCCAACGGAATCTTCCAGGCAGGACAAGAGTCAAAACAGTTGCAATCCCTTTCTCAAGTGAATGATTAGAGGTAAAACCATGATTTTTATCTCCTTCACTTGGAGTAAACATTTTATGTATTACAGGTGAAAAACAAATTATCCCAAGAATCCACACACATTCATACCCAAGCAACTTGTTATAGATTAACCGTGTGGGCAAATGAGGTGTTCTTGTCAGGTCTTTTACTGACAGGTGGCATTTTGCAGTTACAAAGAAAGGGCCAATTACTTTATTACTTATCTTGGAAGGTAATCTTCTAAGGAATCTTAAAGAAATCACAAACTTAAACTTTTATATGTAAAAAGAATAAGTCAGCTCTACTTAGATCTTTAGGGTGCATAAATAATTCATAAATATTTTTTTACATCAGAATATTGAGGACATAAGTGGGTATAAGGAATTGATCATCACGATCATCACCTTTGGTCATCAACCAAACCCAGCAAAAGGAGTACGTCAGCCAGTATTAACTGGTTCTTCATTGTTCTTGTTCCTTCATCTTAAAGAGCTCTGCATTCAAGTATGTGTGCTTTTCTAAAACTTTAGATTGTCTTCTTGGGGTTTTCACCTTAAAGTTATTTAACAAAAACATCTTAGTCTAACTTTGTTATTTTCAAAGCTTTGTTTCAGCTGTGATGCACTCCGAGGCCTGCAGGAGGCGCTAATGGCTGCCCGAGGCCTGCAAGAGGCGCCAATGGCTGCCCGAGGCCTGCAGGAGGCGCCAATGGCTGCCCGAGGCCTGCAGGAGGCTCAGCAACTCTCACTTTCCGTTTGTAGCCAGTGACTATGTCAAGGACACTTTGGTGTTTACAGCACACAAGTGGGTGGCACAGCACACAAACTTGTCCTGAGAGGCACCCAGACCCCTTGGGCTTGTTTAACATCTACCTAGACTGCTACTATTCTAGAATGTGCTATGGCTTTCTCTTTTCAGTTCCCCTGTCTTTTCTACACAGACGCCTTTCCCAGAGAGTCTACATAAGGCGTTATCCTCACATTTGTTCATTTATTTAATTTCACGAATTGTTTTTGTGATGTTCATTACTACTTGAACAGTGTGTGTGTGTGTGTGTGTGTGTGTGTGTGTGCTATAAACTCTAAGAAGGTAGTGATTATTTTTAACACACTTCCTGGAACACAGTAGTAGACCTTGAAGGAATATTGATGGACTAAGTGAATGGGCAACGTATTTGTCAGATAAAAACTACAAAACCCCAACTGTGTTCTAGATACTAGGGATATAGTGATGAATGAAGCGGACCAGCATCCCTAAACCCTTTGGATTTTACACTCTGACACAGGGAAAGAGACTTTCAACAAATAAGGCAGGGAAGGGGAGGCTGCCAGAAGGGAGCTGAGCTTCATCACACAGAGTGATGGAGAAAGGGACCTGGGGAAGATAAGAAGAGAAGGGGTGTAGACAGTGCAGGGGGAGAATTTAGGCAAAGAGAAAAAGAAGGACCAAGAGTCTGTGTGGTCAAACCCAGCACACTATTTGCAAAGTGTTGATGCACGGGCCAGAGAAGCAGGAGGGGGTCAGACAGAAGCATGCAGTCTTTCAGGTCCCTCGGAGGACTTGGTTTCACTCTTGGGTGATCTGGGGAGGTACTGGAGGGCTCTGAGCAGAGCGACACACCCAATATAGGGTCTGACTCGATCCTCCTTTTCGTCTAGTGATAAAAGACTAATGGGTGCTGGGATAGAAGCCCAGGGGAAGCCCAGGCAGTGATCCAAGCAGGAGGAGGAGATGCTGGTGTGGTCCAGAGAGGGGCGGGGCACAGAGGAGGCGGTAGAATCCTCAAGATAGGAAGGATCCTGAAAGGAGACCTGACCGAATCTACAGAAACAATGAACGAAAGTAACGACCCAGTTGTGACAAGGTGACACAGAAGTCTTTGCTTACAGAAATTTACAGAAAAGAGCCTGTGTTGTCAGGCCTCAGACGCTGATGTAACAGATTCTGTACTGGGACTTGGAGTTCTTGGGTCAACCTATCATTTATCCCAAAGAACAGTACAAAAAAGATGAAATATATTCGGTACCAGAAACCCGTGCTTGCAATTAAGCAGCCTGATCTGGGTCTTGATCTTATTCCAGCTCGCTGAGAAGAGTGCAATAATTGTTCGGCAGACATAAACATTTCAAAAAATGAAAATGAAACTCGGCCGTGAGAAGACTACCAAGCCCGTCAAACTTGCACAGGGGGTAAAGATCATTATCCAGAACAAAGATCTTTCCCGGCTTCTTGTGATCGACAACCTGTCCTTCAGAGTGATCTGATAACTGTTCGGATCCCGAATCCTCCGCCTCTTGGCTGTTCTGAAGGAGCCTTGGCTAGTCTTCAGCCTTGAATTCTCCAAGGCCTGACACTGAGCACACAGAACAGCATTTGTTAGCCTCGTGGTTTCTGAGATCCTCCTCTACCTCAGTCTTCTGCAATCCCTTACTTGCTAAGTACCAAAACCAGCAACCACATGGCCACTCACAATTCTGGAATTTCAGAAGGAGCCTAGTGCAAAGGTGGAAATCTGAAGAGAGGGATCTGTCTCATTCCTCCGCTAGACCAGGAAAGGCTTCTTAGCAGAGGCGGAGTGCTGTTGGGGGGCAATTTGGGCACCACTGCAAAAGTACAGGAAGTAGGACACCATAGAGACCAGGGCTGGATCTAAAGGGCCTTCGGACTTACACATCCGCTTCTCTGGTGCACGGCCTTGTTATGCACAGAAGAGAAAGACGGAGGGACCCGGAAACAAGCGCTCCTGGACCTCTAGAATAGCTGTCCAAGGGCAGAAATCCAACTTCTTGTATATGTGTATTAAAATTTCAAGGAACTATAAATAAAATATTACTAAAAACTACCTTAGATTTGAATTTTCTGATGCTGTTGTTATTCACAGATGACTGAAAGGAACCCGAGGCCTCACATTCCGCTTTCCGAGGCTCTAGGTAGCCTTCATGGGGATGCAGTATAAGCCCCACCCTTCGCCCACCCAACTTCCTCTTCCATTTTGTCTCACTGCAGTTCTAGGTTGAGGTTTTCTGATAAGACTTTATGCACTCGGAAAGTAAACAATCGTAGCATCCTCGAGAAGCATTCGCGTGTGATTTCTAGGGGATTTTTGAGTCTATTTTGCAGTCACACGAAAACCTTTGGTTGCTCTAGGGTTTGAGTGACTCCTGCGTCCCTCCAGAGTTTGTGCCTCTCATCAGAACTTCCAGAGACGCGGGGATCCTCTACCACAGCTCTCTGCACAGTTCGAAGCGGGTAGGTCTAGGGGGCGCCAGGTCTCATGCTATCAAGCCTTTCCCACTCTGCGAGAAAGTTTCCGACCCCTTCTGGAGTCCCCGGGTGCCGGCTGTGGTCGGCCGAGAAGGGGACCCCAGATGATCGCTTAAGAGAACAGCCTTCTGGGGAAGCGCCGAGGCTCTGACCCAACTGCGGAAGAGGAAGGAGAGAGCTGGGTCCCGGTAAAGGAGGGTGGTGACAGTTTGGTCGCCCCCGGAGCGTGCGGGTCAGGGTGGAGCCTGCAGCCCCGAGCCGCGTCAGCGTTTAGCATGTAAATCCATTCCCCGCTCCTCCTCCTCCTCCCTCCCCCAGCCCGAGCCCTCCCCGCCCCGGGAGCGAGCTCAGCGGCTCCGCAGCCGCCCACGCCTCCTGCGCGCAGCGGCGCCGGAGCGGGCGGCTCTACTTAAGCGGCGCGCGGGCCGCGACCCGCCACTCGCCTGGAGCGCGCGGGCGAGCCGGGCGCAGCGCACCGGGGCTCTCGTGGGCGCACAGCTGCGCGCTCGCACAGCGCGGCTCTCGCTGGCTGCGGCCGCCTGAGTGCAGGGCTCCCGGGATAAAAGCAGCTGCGGCTCCCGATCGCGACCCCGCTCCCTGTCATTGGCCCATCCTGGCCACTTCTTTGGCCATGGCTCTGGCGGACAGCACCCGAGGATTACCCAACGGGGGTGGAGGCGGGGGTGGCAGCGGCTCGTCCTCCTCCTCGGCAGAGCCGCCGCTCTTCCCGGACATCGTGGAGCTGAACGTGGGGGGCCAGGTGTATGTGACCCGGCGCTGCACCGTGGTCTCGGTCCCCGACTCGCTGCTCTGGCGTTTGTTCACGCAGCAGCAGCCGCAGGAGCTGGCCCGGGACAGCAAAGGCCGCTTCTTTCTGGATCGGGACGGCTTCCTCTTCCGCTACATCCTGGATTACCTGCGGGACTTGCAGCTCGTGCTGCCTGACTACTTCCCCGAGCGCAGCCGGCTGCAGCGCGAGGCCGAGTACTTCGAGCTGCCGGAGCTCGTGCGTCGCCTCGGGGCGCCCCAGCAGCCGGGTCCCGGGCCACCGCACTCGCGCCGCGGGGTTCTCAAGGATGGCTCGCTGGGCGACGAGCTGCAGCCGCTGGGCTACTCGGAGACCGAGCCGCACGAGGGCGCCTCGGCCGGGGCTCCTTCGCCTACGCTGGAGCTGGCTAGCCGCAGCCCGTCCGGGGGCGCGGCGGGCCCCCTGCTCACGCCGTCCCAGTCTTTGGACGGCAGCCGGCGCTCCGGCTACATCACCATCGGTTACCGCGGCTCCTACACCATCGGGCGCGACGCCCAGGCGGACGCCAAGTTCCGGCGGGTGGCGCGCATCACGGTGTGCGGCAAGACGTCGCTGGCCAAGGAGGTGTTTGGGGACACCCTGAATGAAAGCCGGGACCCGGACCGGCCTCCGGAGCGCTACACCTCGCGCTATTACCTCAAGTTCAACTTCCTAGAGCAGGCCTTCGATAAGCTGTCCGAGTCGGGCTTCCACATGGTGGCGTGCAGCTCCACTGGCACCTGCGCCTTTGCTAGCAGCACCGACCAGAGCGAGGACAAGATCTGGACCAGCTACACCGAGTACGTCTTCTGCAGGGAGTGAGCTCCCCAGACCCCTTGCCATTCCTGCGCCCGCTTCCTTCCTCCACAGGGGACCACAGGGTTATAAATGCCCTAGCCCCCTTCCCCTCCTTTCTTCAGCTCCCCACCCTGGCCACCCCTGCCCCGAATAGCTCATCCAGACCCGTCAGCTCCCCACTTGAGAATCTGCAGTCACAAATCCTCTGGCCTTCTTCGTCTTCTTTGGACCCCGCTGACCAAGAGTGCTCCATTCACCTATGTGTCCTCTACTCCTGGCCTCCAACCACCCTTCCCCCAGATTGTATTTGAGTCGAGATCTAGTGGGGGGCAGTGCGGGCGCAAAGTCACCAAGTACCTGGAAAGGACTGAATTGTTCAGAACTGGATTGGACAGTGTCAGCGTGCAGTGCGGAAGAGGCTTTGAAATCTAGAGTCCTTTGACTCGATAGAGGTTTCAGAGCTCAGAACTGAGAGCGCTGTGTAGACAGATAGTGTTGAAAAGGTTATTACAGACTTGATCCTCATTAGGAAGATAAAGTTTTAGACGATTGAGTGGAAGACTGTACTGGAATTAAGACCCCATGGAGGCAGTTCAGAGATTGTAAATAAAGTAATTTTTTTTTAAAGTTACAGGTAGAAAAAAGTAAATCCTAGAACTGGTAACTGGAGAGGATTCTATTTCCCCACACACAATAGTTCTCCTGTGGCTTAAAGTTGTAGAAAGCGATCTTCCTGCCTGCGGAGGCGCCCTTTCTCGCCAGCTGTTTGCTGGAGCTTTTAAGTTTTATTGGTTAAGGCTGCACTTGTAGGCAAGGAGCAGGGAGCAGGAGGCAAGGCTGCCCAGGCCCCCAGCGCTGCAGGAGCCACCTGGCAGTAGTAGCAGAGCCCTTAGGACTAGTGAGAGGGTTGGGGGAGGGAGGATGGAGGGGAGGAAGGGCGGGGAGGGGGGCGAGGACATACTCATTTATTATTTGAAAGTTGGAAGTTTGTACCATCCTTTTGAGTACATGCACATTTTAAAAAAGATATCAAATAGTATGTGTAAACTTAGAGTTAATCAAGATTAGTAAAAGGCCCACTTTCAGCTGGAAGTTTATCAAGCTCTTTTGAGTCCTACACTTTAAGTTGCTAATACTTGTATAACCTAACCAAAGAGTTACCTAGTAGAGTTTTAGTGGTTTGACCGTTTATTTTCTTGTTGATTATATTTCCTTATTTTATAGCCTCTTTACTTAAGCGAAGTAGGTTTGCTTTTAGCTACTTAGACTTAAGATCTCTTATTGTTGTTGTTGTTGTTTTTCTAAGCCCAGCAAGTGTGAACTGCTGGGCTGTTCGGAAACTCCGAGCCACGCCGTTTCTTTCGTGCGTTTGTTTGGCCTTTCAGTGGACTCTTTTCATGTGACAGAGCTGAAGATGAACGGAGGCACCCGGAGCCGTCCACCCGTAGATAGCTGGAAAGGGAAATGTTTGTAAACAAAGGCCACGAAGTACTTCAGTGCGAGCTGAACAATAACGTGGTGATTTAGGTAAATGAAGCAGCAGCAGCAGGAGACCTTATGCCTTTACGCTCACATGGAATGAATCCCAGTGTGTGTCCTGTGTACACCAGAGCCCAAGGGAGTCGAATCCAGCTGCTTCCTGCCGAGCGGCATCCTTTGAATTATCTGTGAGATGGAGAAGCCTTTGTGTGTGTGTTTGTTTCATCATCTTTCTCCGAAATATGTTCTTAAAGATTTTGTAGGAGTCGTTTTAAGTGATTCAATTACTGCCATTTCCCTGTCTTTTTAAACATGAACCTTGTACTGTATGTACTTCACTGTGTCCATGGCAGGTGTTGTGAATCGGGACAGTTTATTCTCAGACTCATGTGATCCAATCTGTATATACCATATATAAGCATTTTACACGAATCATTTAGTTTTTTAATTCATCTAATGCTGTAAAATTTACTATATTTACCCCTGGTAACTTGGATTTGATGGTGTATAAGCAAAAGCAACATGCTTTGGTGAGTTTCTTACATCCTTGTCCATGAACTTGGGTCAGGAAAACATTCATAACTGTGAGGCTGAGTTTGCTCCATACATTTTTGCTGGGTTGTTAGTTGTATACTAATCCTATGTCAGTTAACGGTCTACCTGTATCCAAGCTATCCATATTTTTAATCCAATAATGTTTTCATTTTAATTGGAAGAGATTTAAGTATTTTTTTTTTAAAGAAAAAGAGAAGTTAGCTTTCTGTAGAAAGTCTGCAGTTTTAAAGAGAGGCAGCAAGGATCCAGGGAGTTGTGTTAACTTCAACGTTGAGCTCGTTTAGACAGTGGATCAGAACCTTTGTTTCAAGCCTGAAATATCTCAGACTGTCACTCACCAGTCAAAAGTGAGTGTCAGATTTCTCCATGCCGTGGTACTCTGTTAGACTGCATTAACAAAGATGCATGACTAATAAAGCCTTTGGAACAGATCAAAATACGCTTGCAGATGGCAGGATGAAGTTCTGATCCCCCTCGTCAAATGTGCACAGCTTCGGGAGCCGTGAGAAAGTGCTGAATTTTTGTCTGCACTCCAGTCTCATGAATCGGATCTTGGAAAACTGTTCAGTTGTCCCCTTAACACATAGGCATCTTTTTTGTACTTTCCACCGCACCCTGGCTGGTCTGGGAATTTCCTGTTAGGAAGAGTAAGTAGGTGGACCTCCTTCTCTGGAAGTGACTGTGCCCCCTACCGGTGAAACCAAGGCATGAAAACTGTGAACTTTTTAGCCCAAAGTTATTTCAGCAAGTAGTCACATCATCCTATCGTATCATAGGATGGCAGAGTCAGGGTCGCCTGACATGGGCACTTTCCTCTGCCTGGGCTTTGGAAGAAACCTTTCAGGCTTACACAATGTCCTTAAGTATTGGTTAGCACCTGTGAATTTGATTAGAGTACTAAATGGAACAAGGCTCTCAAGAATATCTTTGAAATGACCTGGGGGAATGTTGTAGACTATTCAGATAATTATGGCTGCATTAATCTATCTCAGAGAGGCAAGCATTTGCATATGTTGATCAAATTACCATTCGATGCTGATAAGTAATGGAATGGCATTAGATTTAATAACTGACTTTTATAAAGAAGCCTTGGCAGTCATTGTGGTTGGAAAAAAATAAGTACCATGTTCCATGCTTGTGTATCAGATGCTTGACGTGTTGTTCGTTTTTTAAAAATACATGTGGATTATGAACTGCATTAATTCTAAATTTTCAGAATTGTAGAGGAAAATATTTCTTGAAGGTGTGAGAAAAATTTCCTCTTTTAATACTATTTTTATCTAGTGTTTCTTATTTAGGTTTTTCAATTAATAGCAAAGTGATAATACTAGCCCAACTTGTCTTCTTTTTAAAAACAGAATCATATATATATATATATTTTCAGTGTATGTATACCTGCTGCTTCTCTGAAAATATATATATATATAATGTGCAAATATTCAGAGGAAACTGCCAGCATTACAACAGATCCCAATTTTTACTGTGGTTACCATGGAATGCTCCTAGTACATCAGTCATGTATGACAAAGCTTTGATAATTTTTTTAACTCTTCAAATTATGGTAAATTCCAATCTAGTATTCAAATCATTTTTGTACTCCTACATGTAAAATAAGCTATAATGCAGATAGTTTGAAAAAATATTGAGTGAAGGAAGTGAATTCCTTAAGGATTTCTTTTACAGTCTTAGTTACGAGTACTGTAAGATTGACATATTTTAAAAATAGTAAACTTGGTATTTTTATTGTTAAACTCTTAGTCAAGATTTTGCTTGCAGTTTTTATTATGTTTTTTCATCACTACAAATCATTTAAACTTCTGGATATTCTGGATGATTGCAATCCGTCTCTTGAGTAATGAATGAAATGAAGTCTTCTTATTCCCAGGGTCTACAGAACCTGCAGGAAGTCTTCATATAGACATAAATAAGTTAGCTTGTAGTCAACATCTCTTTGTGACAGGTTTGGACAGTACACATGTCTTGGTATTAATGTGTGAGGATTTAGATTCTTCTCTGGGCCCCATTAAACAAAGCTGGAAGAACACCAGCAGAAGGTAAACATCTGGAGTATGGGAGGAGGATGGACCAGTTGACCAAGAGTATACTGCTGTATGGTAGGAGCATGGACCAGTTGACCAAGAGTACTTGCCACTTCAAGTATTTTTCAGTTATTTTCAAGCCAGTTTTGTTTATTTCAAATGCATCTTGAAGTGTGTAGACATTAATTGTGAACTGTTACACACTATCTCTGTGACTTTACAGCCAGGTAAACTTTGGTTTAACTCTTGGGCACAGATGGTACGCATTCTCCTTCTGCCACCGTTAGTATCCATTTGATGACAAGGGATTGAAACGTTCGTCATGGCTATGAATTTTGAACATGTAAATTAAATTTTTCTGGGCATTTGCAAAATTCCTGTTTGTAATAATTATTTGGGTTCTGAAATGTTGAACATGTTATTTGCTAAGCGATACATATCTCCGAGCTGTTTCTTAAAAATCTAGGGGGACGCGGAAAAGATCACACTGTCAGACTTTTCTAATGAAACATAAACCCAAGAATAAAGGCCCCTCTATATTAAGAAGAAAACAAAACACATGGGTGAAATCTTTTCAAAGGTGCTCAAACTTTGAAATTGCTTTCATCCATCCAAAGGCTTCATTTTGTTTTATCTATTCACAACCAGTTGTGTAACGGGAACACTCAATACTGGTTTCCCTGCTGCGTGTGAAGTAATGAATCATTGATTATGTGACTTGTTATGTATTCTATTAAACACTAAAGAATAAAGCATTCACTCTTTTCATTACCCCCTTTGGCTCCAGGGTGTGGATTGGCTGGGATACTGTTCTAATTTCATTTAAGGAGTTTTGGAAATGCTGCGAATGCTTCCCACACTGCGGTAGGACTGACGGACGGTGAGCAGTGCTTCCCACACGGCTGTGGGACTGACAGATAATGAGCAATGCTATTAGATCCGTAGATATCAACAAGTCAATTTCCAGCTGGGCCAGGCTGAATCAGGCCTGTTGTCAAGAATGCTTAACAAACAGGCAGTCTGATAGTCATCTTTCATGGGATACTTCTTTAATTTCAGTCTTCGCAGCCACGGTTGTATAAGGGGTTATGATATAAATGCCCTCTTAGAGCGTAAAGGAGCAGGGTAGTAGATGCTGTAAGATTTGCCAGAAGTACAGTTCATGAAGGAGGTAAGGTCCTGAGATTATTGGGTGGGAGCGGCTGTCTGTCTTCTGCAAGGACTATTTGCACCACTTTCTACAGCCTTTGAAGTTCCTACTTTCCAAAGAAGGCCTGGTGCCACTCAGACTAGGAAATTACAGAAACCCGTGGCTTGCTGGGTTATAGCACAGGAAGCTGGAAGCAAGGTGGATAGTGCAAGCCAGGTTTCGCCCTTCCTCTTTTGCCTGTACTTCCTCTGCGTAGCTTTTGTTTTGTATATATATAAACACACATGATTTATTTTTGAAAATGTCATAGATATGACAAAAACCTTAGGCACAGCAAAAATGTAGCTAAGAAAGAAGAAATCTCCCCTTTCTAGCCCCTAGCTTTTCTCAGAGACAACATTCAGGGTTTCTTCTATACATGAAGCACTAAGTCTCACCCCCTTCTCTTTTCTGCAGTGACTGCCTCTTCCAAGCCTCTTGTTTAGACACATGGACATGTGGCAATGATCTAACTCCGTTTCTGATAGTTCCACGATGTTCTGCATCATGTGCTAGCGTGCAGATGGGATGCAGCTTTTAACTTGTCCTTTACCGACACATATTTAAGTCTTTAGGGAATTTTTTCCATTCCAAAGAATCTGTGTTGAATATTTTATAGGCATGAAAAATGTATATCTAGTATTTTTGTATGAATTGGTGTTGGTACAGAAATGGACTAAGGTTTGGAGAGAGTTTTTCCCCCCTTCTTAGGGTCTGAGAATCAGATCTGACTTATGACTATTTAGCTTAAGATTTTTTAACTTTTGATGACACAAAAGCATTCAGTATATACATATTTAATGGAAACCTAGCCTGGAATTTTTTTTTCACAGACTGGTGTTATGTGGTATAATAGTGTCAGCGATGCTGAGCAGGGCATGGGCTACAGATCTCAGTCAACTGCCTGGTGGTCACGCTGACACCAATCCTCTAGAGTGCATTGTGTTGCTAAGCCAGATGTTCTTTAGTTGTACATATAAGTCTACATTTTAATCTTACCATATTTTTAACCTAGAATGGGATAATTGGCCTGTAAGCCCATAAATCAAAGGATGTCTAACTCTATATTCTTTTGGAAAAAAAGATTATTTATTTGTATGAGTATTTTGCCCGTGTGTAAGCATGTGTACCATGTGCATGCAGTTCCTGCAGGGGCCAAATGAGGATGCTGGATCATCTGGAACTGGAGTTACAGGTGGTTGTGAGCTGCCATGTTGGTGTTGGGAACTGAGTCCGGCTTCTCTGTAAAGCCACCTAGTGCTCTTAACTGGTGAGCCATCTCTTCATTCCCTCTTGAAACTCTTAATACAGTGTTTGAAATCCTAACTCATGCAATAAGTCAAGAGTAATAAAAGTGAAAATAGGACAGGAAGAAGTGCAGTTGCCACGATTTGCAGATATTCTATTCTTAGAAGACCCTGAAGATTCCCCTGGAAAACTCTTTAATCTGACAAACACTTGCAGCAAAAAAATCTGGATGCAGAATCAAGCTGTACAAATATGTAGCTTTCGTATGTATCAAATATTTATTGCCAAGAAAGAAATCATAAAAATCCCATTCACAGTAGCTTATCCATACACGCACATACGTAACGTACATACATACAGATGCACACATATACATACATACACATGCATATACATACATGCACACATACATATCTAAGAATAAAGCTAATCAAGGAGGCACAAAGCTTCTACAGTGAAAATATTAAAACACTGAAGAAAAATGTCAAGAAATCACAAGAAGATGGAAGCAGCATCTGGAGAAAATTATGTAATAGGACCCTCTACACCCTTCAGTGCAGGGACCTTTGGAGGTCAGAGAGGGTGTCAGATGGCTCGGAACTTGAGTTACATGTGGTTGTAAGCCACCTAATATGGGGACTGGACCTGGGTTCCCTGGAAGAGCACCAGGTGCTATTAGTCTTGAGCCATCTCCACCCCCAGTACTTGGTTTTCAGAAGTTTATGCACACACAGGACTTAAGTAGTTCCAACACAACTGTCCCTTTAGGACAAAATGTACCTTGGCATTTGCAGGTTTCTTCAAAGAGGCCAATGCTGGTATTTAGAAAGATCTGTAAAGCCGCATTAGGTCACTGACTCCTCATTGGCTCCTGCAGGTTTACCTCCAGTTGTAGCTATTCATTCATTCATTAAAAGTTCCCTGAGTATACACTCAGGCCAGACTGAATCAAACTGACCCAAAAGTGAATAATATAAAGCAATATCATGATAAAATAACTTGAATATTTATCACTAAGATAAGCGCAACACTTACAGAAGTCAGAAAGGGGAATGTAAGAGGAAAATAAAAACCCTACACATCTCATCTTGCTGAAGGACAAAAGGTGAGGAAGAGGAAAGATAGTGATGAAAGAGCAAGCCGAGTCATATTTACCCCTCCCCCAATTCCTCCCATATCCATCCCCCTTCCTTATCAACTTCCTATTCTCCTCCTCCTCTTCTTCTCCTCTTCCTCCTCCTTTTCCTCCCCCTCTCCTTGTTCTTCCTCCTCCTCTTCTTTTAGCCAAATATTAAACTCATCAAGTTCTGTTTATGATGCCCATATTTTTAGATGTGTTGTCTTCCACAGGAGTGTGGTTGAGCGACCAATTGCTACACCTTTAAAGAAAACTGACTCACCCCTTCTAGCACAGCAGAGCAGTTTCACATATGAACTTGTTGAAGGAGGCTGCTTGTTTGTTTCCTGGCCACTTAGACTCCAGAAATAATCACACAGAAACTATATTATTTGCAATACTGTTTGTTCAATAGCTTATGCATATTTCTGGCTAACTCTTACATATTCAATTAACTCATTTCTATTATTTTATATTTTTTCAGTTTTATTTATTTATTTATTTATTTATTTATTTAAGATTTCTGACTCTTCCCCGCCACTGCCTCCCATTTCCCTCTTTCTCCCCCAATCAAGTCCCCCTCCCTCATTAGCCCAAAGAGCAGTCAAGTTTCCCTGCCCTGTGGGAAGTCCAAGGACCACCCACCTCCATCCAGGTCTAGTAAGGTGAGCATCCAAACTGCCTAGGCTCCCACAAAGCCAGTACGTGCAGTAGGATCAAAAACCCATTGCCATTGTTCTTGAGTTCTCAGTAGTCCTCATTGTCCACTATGTTCACAATAAAAAGACCAACCCTAAGAATAATAGGAATTTAAATATTATTTTATATTTTACCATGAGGCTTGTGGCCTACCAGCAAGGTTCCAGCTGGCAACTTGTGTCTTTCTCCTCTGGCGGTTCCATGGCATCTCTCTGATTCCCTCTTTCTCCCAGCATTCAGTATAGTTTTCCTGCCTAGCTCTACTCTGCTAAGCCACTGGCCGAAACTGATTCTTTATTGACCAATGGTATTCACAGCATACAGAGGGGAATCCTACATCATGGACTCGTAGTGACTGTGACATAGTTTAAGTATTTAGTTAAATACTTACTAGTTATTTAGTAGATGGTTTGCTGAGCACCCATTGCTATGTGTAAAGTCCCGAAACATCAACTCCTCATTTCATTCGTCATTGTTCTATTGCTGTGAAAAGACTCCATGACCAAAGCAGTTATAATAAAAGAAAGCATTTAACTGGGGACTTGCTTACAGTTTCTGAGGCTTAGCCCATTGTCAGCATGGTAGGAGTACAGCAGCATGCAGGCAGGTGCCAGAACAGTAGCTGAGAGATCTACACCCTCATCCATGGGGAGCAGAAAGAGAGAGTCACTGGGCCTGGCGTGAGCTTTTAAACCTCAAAGTCCACCTGCAGTGACACACTTCCTCCACCAAGCCCATATCTCCTGATCCTTTCAATAGTTCCACTCCCTTGTGACTAAGAATTCAAACATATGAGCCTATGTGTGTGTGTCGGGGTTATTCTTATTGAAACTACCATAGATACCTAGTTATCTCCTTTCAGGAATTTTTTAAAGTTGACTAACAAGTGGGTAACAGGTCAATTTAGGGATCTTTTACAACTATCAGAAATTATAGAAAGCTTTGAATCTCTGCTCACATTTCTGTGGCCTTCACAATTATATTAAATGCATTCATATCAATCTTTACTAGTAATGGCCTGAATGGCCTTTTCATTTATTGTGTACATTCACTACACATACACACACACACACATACACACACACATACATGGTTTGCAGTAAGTTATGTAATTTATACAGTCTTCAAACTGGCAATCCTCCTGCTTCAACTTCCTGAGTGATGGTAATATAGGTGCCTACCACTACTCCTGCTTATGACAAATGGCTTTTCCCTCTTATCTTCCAAGTGGAAAAGATGAATTATGCTAACAATACATTCTAAAATTAGTTTTCTTTTGTTAATGTAACTGCCAGCCTTGCTATTCACTACTTATTGGTTTATTGTCTGCTCAGTGTCCCTTGCTGGGCAGATACACTGAACTAGAGTCCAAGGTAAGAGAATTATAAGTCTTTGTACACAGAAAGAAAGGGCAATGCAAGCAGTTCCTTGTTCTGCCTTGGCCTTTCCTTTCTGGAAAACACAGATTGAAAAGCATGCAGTTTTGAGTGAAAATTAAAACTTGGTCTCGGTGGCACCTG